TTGATTGGTCCCAAACCTCATTGTCTGTCAACATGCTTTAACAACCAGATTTATCATCTGTAGCCCATGTGGAAGCCATAGCAACAGTCCGTATCCCACTGGTAAATATTTAAATAAAACATAATGCAAACCCCTGAGGAATGACCCAGTTCATGAATACAAATAGACCAAGTCAACATTTGAAGTCTGAGGCATGTTTATGAAGTTCATTTAGCATGATGCTATTTGACACAAAGCTGTGCAAGGAAAACAAAGTAATCAAGATCTCGAAAAATACACCTTATTTGCATATAATAATCTTGATAAATTAATTATAGAAAGATGCTGATCTGGAACCCACAAAGACATATTTATCTTTATTAAAATGTACAAGTCTATAGGTTATGTTGAAGAAAAGGCTTCACATACACAATTGGTCTGAATAAGACCCATTTGGGTCCAGTTCTAAATAAAAATACATTGTTAATTGTATTCAATGTCTAGAATACTGTCAGATGTATTCATGAATTTGGCATAAAGTAAAAATCTAATTGTGATTTACAAAAAAAAAAAAATCCAATTGTAAACACTGAGGTCACAGCAATACCTAATAGTTACACATCTTTAATTTGATACATTAAAAATGTTTTGATGTCATTAAAGGATTAGTTCACTTTCAAATTAAAATTTTCTGATAGTTTACTCACCCCCATGTCATCCAAGATGTTCATGTCTTTCTTTCTTCAGTCGAAAAGAAATTACGTTTTTTGAGGAAAACATCCCAGGATTTTTGTCCATGTAGTGGACTTCAACAAAATGATTAAAACCAGAGACGAGAATAAGAACGAATGAGAACATAAGAACAGTGAATGGCCATTTGGGAAACAGTCAGAGATTCTACAGTTTTTAGGATTTGGGGTCAGTAGCACAAGTGTGTGTGTTGTGTTTTATGGACGCTCCAGATGGTGTGTGAGCATTTGGGCCAGTATATTCCCAGCACAGGTGGCTCATTTGAGAAACCTCTCACGTTTAAATGTCTCCTACAACAGATGGGAAAAGACCATACAATCATTTACAGTATCCAGACTTGTGCTTATTTAGACAAACACTGCCCTCTGCTGCTCAAACAGGGACATTTTAACGTGTTTGCTGCTTTAGACTAATGTGTCAGGCTCCGGTCCTGGAGGGCCATTGGCCTGCAGAGTGTAGCTCCAACCAGCTCCAAAACACCTGCCTGGACGTTTCTAGTAATCCTGAAGAGCTTGATAGCTGGTTCAGGTGCGTTTAATTTGAGTTGGAGCTAAACTTTGCAGGCCTGTTCACACCAAGGACGATAACTATAAAGATAACGATAAAATAACGATAAAAATCCTTCTCAATATTAAAGAATAGCAGAGTCCATACCACAGCTATAACGATAAAGGCACAGAGAAACGTTGGAATCACTTTCAGAACGATTTTTTCCCAGCTGATGAACGATAAAAACATTGACAGCCAATCAGAATCAATCCTGCTATAACGAGCTTGAGAATTTAAAGCGACAGACGAGTGTGCGCTTAGAATAAACAGACGATATCGTCCGCTGGTGTGGATGCTAATATAGTTATCGTTCTTGGTGTGAACGGGCCTTAAGTCCTGAAATGGGTGTGTGAGACAATGGAGTCATGCAAAATGTGCAGTGTTGGGGCTCCAGGAACGTGGTTGGGAACCACTGCTTTAGACTAATCAGTATGTTGTTGTTTTTTCTATACACATCTCTGCACACAATTCCTAGCATGATTTTTATATGTTTTCTAATTTATTTTTCTTTTCCTATTTTGTAACTTTCCAAACCTTCATTGTTGGCAGAATGAGGCTGATGATCTGGATTTGGAATTGGGTGTGGGCCTGGATCTAGAGGACTTGGAAAATGTCTCTAATTCACCCAGCCCTCAGCACCGAAGGAAAACTAGCTCTTTGCTGAGCGACATCAATGGGATCCGAGCTGGTCGGCCCAACTTGTGGCACACTGCACTCAATAACAGCCAGGAGCTGGACAGCGGGGTAGGTCGTACAGATGAAAGTACACGCTGTGAAGAGTCGTCAGAGCTGGCCGATGATGCCACCAGCGCATGCACGACCAATGCCACCAATACACCCGGCAGTTTGCGCAAGTTCCACGCTGCTCAGCACGGATGGGAATACATCCACTACAGCAACGACTCACTGCTGGGGCCAGATGGGGTGGGAGCAGCGGATCATGGGGCTCCTGAATCACTGGGCACAGTGACGAGCAGAACGCTACTGACAGGGTTAACTGAAGAGGAATATGAACGTTACCGAGAGCTACTGGAGATCCGGTGCCTTTACGAGAAGAACGGAAATGCACTTTTTCTTTTGGATGGAAAGAACCATCGTGGAGGAGTTGGGGATTTTGCAGGAGCAGGTGTTCCTGTAGACATGAATTGTAACGAGAGCCTGATGCAGCACGAGATTGCCCTTCTAGATGAGGAAATACGTCACCTGGAGTTTAAGTGGCGCAATGTTTTGCGGGCTCAAAAGATGCAGCAGTTGCGGCAACGCTGCCTAAAGGTCTGGCCAGCTGATGAAGAGGACAATGAAGAAAAAAGAGCAAAGGCAAGGTGTGGAGGTGCAGAGGCAATCCACCATGATCTGTCGGATATCAACGAGATCCCAGAAAGGGAACGCTCTGATAAGGAGAGTACAAGCGCTTATAATACCGGTGGGGAAAGTTGCAGAAGCACGCCTTTGGCAAGTGAACGATACCCTTCACTGTCTGCGGCTGGAGATTCCAGTGCCTCTGCATCCATGCGACCTCGGACGCCCCGTCACAGAACAAGCACAAGCAGGGATAAGAATCTTAATGTACCTTCTTCTTTGGATGCCAAGAAAAAGAGTGAAGAAACAGGGGACAACAAAAACTCTACTCCAACAAGGCTTCATTCGTTATCTCGGAATGGCGGGAGTAGTAGAAAGGGCTTGGATGGAGCACCAAGGGGGTCCCATGCAAATGGGACTCTCACTACTGGGATCGTGAAAGGAGGAAGGAGTGCAGAAAACAGTCCATACTTGTCCCGTCGCCGCTGCAGTACCACGCTGCCTCAACGCTACCAGAGTTGCATGCAGTTGAGGGACATATCAACAAATGACAGTCCAGAAGTTAGGGATGCCAATGAAGAGGTTCCTTCTCACTCCAATACCGTAACTTGTGCAAACAGAGACTCCACAGCTGCTCCTGCAACTTCTTTGATTATACCTCCTCCACTGCCTCCATCTTCACCTCGAATGGAGTGGAAGGTAAAGATCCGCAGCGACGGCTCACGTTATGTCGCCAAACGTCCGGTAAGAGATCGTTTGCTAAAGGCTCGTGCCATGAAGATTCGAGAGGAGCGCAGTGGGATGACCACGGACGATGATGCAGTCAGTGAAATGAAGATGGGACGCTATTGGAGCAAGGAGGAACGTAAGCAGCAGCTGTTGAGAGCTCGCGAGCAACGGCGGCGCCGTGAGTTCATGATGCAGAGCCGACTGGACTTCTTGCGGGAGAAAGAGAAGGAACAAGACTCCGGACCTCAAGGACAGGCTTCCATACTTGAGCTGAGCCAGAAAAAGAGTATGAAGAAACGCAGTCGACGCATCCTGGACAACTGGATCACCATTCAGGAGCTGCTGGCACATGGGACCCGTTCTGTAGATGGGAAGAAAGTGTACAACCCTTTGCTATCCGTGACCACTGTTTAATAATTGGTGTGAAATGAAACCTTTTCACAAGGAAAAAGATATTTGGATTACAAAGTTTACCAATTATTTGCGGTTGTCTGACAAAAATGCCTAGTAGTCAAGAAACGATGAATATAAATGTACAAGACAGAAAGGCTAATTGCAAATGAATGTACATTTTTCACAATTAACATGAACTCTGGAAGTCACTCTCAGACGGTTACAATGCAGTGGTGGTCCTGAGCATTTTCAAACCAGATTTAAACATTTTCTTTCATAAACACTTCAATCTGAGAACATTTCATAAGAGAAAAAGTTCAAGGGCCTGTTGCTTAAACCGTTTAGACTAGTAGTCATCTCTCTTTTTAAGACTACTAGTTGGTCAGTTTTTAAGCAGGCCCTAGTTTTTAAGCAGTGTTTATGCAACTGGCCCCAGATCTTGTGTTTTTTGAGGAAATTACAAAGTTAACCTGGTGATTGGTTAATAAATTGCTGCTGTTGTTTTGGCTCAATATGTGTGGTTTTCTTCACTGGTAAATGTAAAACAACAAGAAAAGAATGAGCCATTACTTAACAGTTGACTTATTGAGTTGATTTCACAATTTTAGAAGCATATGAATCCATTGAACAAAAGAACCAAAAAGCACATTGACAGCAAAAGTACAAAAAGCAGGAAATTTTCAGCACACAAATATAGGCACAACAAAAGGTAATGTCAATTGTCAAACACTGACATTGTCCAAAGAAAAATGATTTGATTGTATATTTTTTGTGGTACATTTGTCAACACTCAAGGAACAAATCAGATGTTATTATCACTCTTAAAAATTATTTTGTTGTCAGCTTGCAAAATCACATTTCAAACTTATTATTTGATATTGTAAAAAGTTTGCATGTTGTTGTCTGGGAAATGTTTAAATTATGTTGTGTGAACTGTCAAGTGAAGTTTTTGCCGTCTCTTCTGTAATACTGGTCAACAGGACAACGATATATTGTGTCCAAATGTTCTTTTAACATCTTGCAGGTCTAAAATTAAGGAATTTCTGCTCCTAAATGTTCTTGAATAAAACTTTTGCAATTTCAATATCATCGAGTTTCACCCATTATTTGCAAAAAAGCTTCAAACACTTCAATACAGAAACAAATCACTTAAAATGTAATCAAAACACTACACAATGGCGTTGTTTATGTTAAATAAAATAAGCTGAGGTTTTGTAACTCAAATAAAAATTTGCATTTATATGTAATATTCTTCTTTCGCCACAAAGTTTTTGGTAAGAAAAAAATGACAGGACACTGGATACCATCTCTTCATTTATTGGATGTACAATTATGAAAAATAATAATCATAAAAAAGACTGGAAGCCCAAGATTATTTACAATCGTTCTCTTTGATTCTGTGGCAAGGTCTCTCAGAGATTCCATTGTCAGTCTCATGCTCACTTACATCATGATATGTTGAGCTTTAAAAAGACGTTCCTCTCTAGATATGACAAAATACATGACCTAAAAGTTAACAAAGAAAAAAAAATACATACAGTACATACATATACATACATCGAGAGAATTATCTATAAAAGCAGAATCATTCAAGTATCAAAAGACAGACCACCCAGGATTACTTTACAATTCGATATTGTTTATATTTTAATCATTTAACCAAGAATATGTCACCATTGTATTCGCTAATGTGATTAGTTGTGCAAACACTGCGGCTGTTACAGGTGCTAGCATTAGCAACTGCTTGTATTTAGCACTATACCCATTTTTAACGTACCATGTAAAAGAAAATTAAGAAAAAAAAAAATCTAAAAAAAAAGTACCAGACCTAAAATCCTTGTAAACTAGGGCTAAATGCATACAGGAATATTTCCCATCTACACCTCATGTTTCTGCATTATTATCTACACAAAACATAAGCGCAGGTTCGTCCTTGACAGATGACTATGCAAATTTCCATTTTTAAACCTTTTCATCCGTTTCATTTTTATTTTTTAGACATACCCTGCTTTCTGCAACTTAATCATTAAAGGAAAGACACAAAACTCTACATATAAAAACAACTCGCAGTTGTTTGTAGTGTCACATTAACGCCACTGCTTCGTATTAGAAATCACAGTATACGTGTAAGAGTCACTACAAGTACCAAGATCTGGACTGTACCATTCTCATGCCATCATAAAGTTATTAACTTATCATAATAGTGTACCATAAGACGTCTCAACATTATCAACAGTATCTCCCACTAATCTGGCATTGAGTTTCTGTCCGTGACATTCAAAGGCCAAACCTTTCCTACTGAAACTCGTACCATAGTTCAAAATTCTTATGTTTTAATGGTCTTGCCCACATTGTACAAACACTTGTACTAAAGCCTGTTGGCCACCTGACTTAAAATACTGACAGTAAGAATCAAAGATCTCAACTTACAGATGGACTGATCTTAACTGGACATCAAAAGACAAGACTGCACTCTCTAATCAGTGTTTTGCTGAACTGGAATCAGTGTTTCTAACTTTCTGCTTTTATTTTCGAAGTTATCAGACAAAATAAAAGCATCTTCACTTTGTGAGATGAAAGACCATAATTTTAGATGACAAAATCACAGACAAAACAGAAGCGTGTCGACTGTCGCTTCACAAGGAAAATAAAACAAAACTCAAAGAAATCAAAGTAAAGACAACGTCAGCACTGAGAATACAGTGACTGCTGTGAGTTTCCAGTGTCTGAAAACTTCTGAAATCTGATAAAAGCAAGATGTTTTTCAGAGGGAGGGGTGTTAAAGTGGATGGGACTCTTTCTGTTTGTTTTTGGCTCGTGTGTTTAAGGTGAAAACCTAGTGATGGATGGGAGGAGCTCACTGCAGGTGTGAGGAGACTTCTGACACTTACATAGATCTATATAAACACACACACACACACACACACACACGCACACACACACACACACACTACAAGTGATGTCTCATCCACAGTCATGCTGTCACTGGCATCCCAACTTTCCTTTCTGTTTGGCATCCGACACAGCGGTCAGCTACAGGGAGACATACACACACAGGGATTAAAACAAATCAAAATGAATAAAATGTGGGATCTAGTTAACATGCTGATGCCATTTACAACAGATATGTCAAAAGTTCAAAAATGAAGGTGAAGAGAAGAAAGCTGCTGTCGTGCCAATCTTTTTTTTTGGTCCTGAAATCTTCTCCCCTTTGGACCATAAAGACTCCAATGGCAAATAAAAACTTCTTGATATTCTCAGCTGCCTGATTAGAAATCTGACTGTTGTATGCAAGTCCTACCCGACTGGATATTCAACAGTATTCTCATTGAATCTCCATTTCACTCAGAAATACAGCAGATTAAAATGGGCTGCAAATAACATTTCATGGTGACTTTTCAATTATACATGACATATCATGTGATTTAAATAAATTTAGACTTTAGTTCTCTTTGTTTTCAGTTAGCTTGTGGTTAGCATGCTAACCGATTAGACCAGAGGTCCCCAACCACCGGGTCGTGACCCACTACCGGGCCGTGGAAGAATTGCTACCGGGTCGCCAGAACGGTTTGGGGAAAATGTGTATAGATATGACACTCTGTTATTTATTTATTTTATAATGATTGTTCTAATTATTCTGTATTTCCTTTGTATGCGATTGATATGGAGTAGCAATTTGACAATTTCATGTTAAATAAGTAAATGAAATATTGCTCTGATTTGTCACATTTAAACGGATCGCAGTTGATCCGTAATACGTATGGATGTGTGTATAGATATGACACTCTGTTATTTATTTATGTTATAATGATTGTTCTAATTATTCTGTATTTCCTTTGTATGCGATTGATATGGAGTAGCAATTTGACAATTTCATGTTAAATAAGTAAATGAAATATTGCTCTGATTTGTCACATTTAAACGGATCGCAGTTGATCCGTAATACGTATGGATGAGACCCTACCGTTCGGCATGCATGTGATTCGCAGATTAATTTGCCAATTTACACGTACATGCAATTTTAAACCACAAGAAGAAGAAACGAAAGAGAGCTCAATTCATTACTCGCGCGCTGTTCTCGCACACAATCAAAGCGCGCACAAGAGACGTGTTTCAGACTGAGCGGAAATACCGAGTTGCGTATACATACACATTAAATTAGCCTATGTCAAAAACTAGGGATGCACCGATACCGATACTGGTATCGGTATCGGTGCATCCCTATCAAAAACCCTTCACGGCATTGTCATTCTCTGTGCTTTAAATATTTTTTTCTTGCTTATCCGAAAAATAGTCCGATTTGTGACGCAAAAAAACCCATATATATATATATATATATATATACAGAGTGGGTACGGAAAGTATTCAGACCCCCTTACATTTTTCACTCTTTGTTATATTGCAGCCATTTGTATATATATACAGTATATATATATATTAGGCCATATATATCTCCCCCCCAACCTCCCCCGCCCGGTCCGCGAGAATATTTTCGAAACGTAACCGGTCCGTGGTGTAAAAAAGGTTGGAGACCCCTGGATTAGACCCTTAAGAATTAAAAACACTGCATGAATTTTGCCCAGATTTTTGCTAGGATTCAACAAATCAACACTAGTTGCCAAAAGTTAGCGTCCGTCTGCAAATATTGGTCAGTCGGACTTTCGCAAAGAAAATCTCGTATGATGGGTACAGACATCAATCTTCAGACAGTATTTCATATCTATGGATTAATGCCACTATGCGTTGCCCACATCAGGCTTTATTTTGGTGATAATGATCAGGAAAAATACATTATGAAATTACATAATCTGCTACAAAAGGATGATGCCACATTGTTTGTGGGGCATTACAAATGACTAGCTTTTGGGGTCCAAGGGAATAGGATTTTGAGGAAAGAACTGAATACTGCACAGCAACAGAAAAAGCAGACTGTTCAGAGAAAATGAGAGAAAAACTTTCAGGATGGAGAGAGCAGCAGGCATTAAAAGATGACGTTAGTCTACATGAGATGCTGATTACAGGTCAATAAACACAACTTTATCCATATTTGCCCTTTGGCACTGAACTGTGCCATCTCTTTATAATAGTCCTTACTGTAGTCTTTACTGTAACGGCATGCAACAAATTAAAATGTCTGTCAGTGTGTGTGTCATATGGAGGACCATTTTCACCAGCTAAGGAAAAAATCATGCTTTGGTAAATCACAATTATGACAGAAAATGAATGGAAGATTATGAGACGCCAAGTCATATTTATAAGATAAAAGGTCAAATTGTGAGACAAAAAGTCAATAATGAGATTAAAAGGACAATTATAACATTAAGAAGAAAAAAAAAGTCATCTCAACTTTCACTGGTCAATTTCAACTTGCGTCAATTATAAATGTCATAATTATGACTTTTTTATCTCACACTAACCAAATACTAAATACTGTGCAATTATTAAGATTATAAAAAAAAAATCCTTTTATATGAATTCCTGTTTAAATACAGTTTAAAAACCTGATTTATGTGTTTTAAATAAATAAATTACATTTATTAAAATATAAATAAAACGATAAAAATAAAATAACAAATAAAAATAAAACAACAAAACCAAACACAAAACAACAAACAAAATAAATAGATTCAATAAACATTACTTACATTCACTAAAAAATTAAACAAAAACACAATAAAATTAAATAAAAAACAACATGAAATAAAACATGGAAAAGAGATACATTAAAAAAATGATAAAATAAAATAAAATACGGAATCAGCCTAAAATAAGCTGTTGCTAGCTAGTTGATTTGAGCTATTAATAGAAATGTATTTGCTGCATCGTGGTTTTTTTTCTTACAATAACTTTGGGTCGAGTAGTTGACAAATATAGCCAATACTATTTTGTGGGAAAAAAAAAAAAAAAAATGAAAATGGAATAAGATTATTTATTTTTTCCCTGTCATGCTGTAGTTTATGATTTTTTTGATGCAATGTAAATGACATTGCACTCAAATTGTGGGACACAGTATGTTTTGTTTAAATGTGTTTAAACATGTTTTTGGTAATTAAAGTCAATAAATTATTAATTTGGTCATTTATGTTTTAGGTGAATTAAAACACTGCTGTACTCTTTTAATTGTTGGATATAGTCGTGAAGGTCAATACCTCTTTATTTTTACATTTGACAACGGTTCTTCTCACATATTTATTTATTACTTCTAGTTCTAAATGTGTAATTTGTGCCTTTTCGCGTAAAAATAAAATAAAATACGGGATGCCAAAATGTACCGTATTCATGGAAAGTGCCTTTTATCGTAATCCTTGGCGGTGTGGACTGTTTCGATCTGATGCTACATGTTTAGTGGAGTCCAGGTGTTTTAGCTCAGACTGAAGAGGAAGAAGAGGAAGTCTTCATCAGTGTCTCACTGCGGTCGACGCCTGGCAGAGATGAGCACCACAGAAGGGGTAAAGAAAGAAAAACTAGTTAAGAGAAAAACTGTCAGAGTGAAAAATGGAGGGAGAGTCCTTTGAGCAGAATGGAGTAGGAAATGTTAGTTTCTTCAGGTTAAATGACAGCATGTTCTGGTCCTCAGCAGAGCTTTACTTTGGTTTCAGGCCAGTTATGATACGACTACAGGTGAGAGACTCCTAAACTGGGCGGCATACCTGAACGAACTTACAGGGCTACGTCAGGACAGAGTGTTTGTTTCAGCCGAGTAAAGGCCTCGGGAAAGGGTTGCCGGACAGCCAGAGCTGTGCGAGACAGACGGAGAAGAAGGTGAATGGAGAGGAGGCTTCTGTGTGGAGGAGAGCGAGGGGGAAGGAGTTCGGTCACGTGGGCGAGGGGAGGTCAGAGTCTATCTAGAGAGTGAAGGCACAGAGCGAAAGGAAAAGGTGTGAGGGGGCGGGGCGTGGAGGAGAGGAGCGTCCGGTCAGAATATGGTGGTCTCGTACTTGGTGCTGACGGTGCGCTTGGGATCTTTGGAGTCCAGGATCCAGGTGGCACTGCTCTGAGCGTGAGCGTCCACATCCATCGCTTCAACCTAAAACAGCAGGGAGGAAGACACGTAAATACCCTGTGAGAGACATCAATACCACGATTACACTAGTTCCTCTCACTAGAGATCTGATTACGAGAGCTTTGGGTCAGGTTTCAGCTTTAGGTTACTGAATTGACGAGTGTATGGAACCCAGTATATTCTTTTAAAAATGATTCAAAGGAAGCACATTTAGTGACTTGAAAATGCCCCTACATACATCACCGTTCAATTGGTACGATTTAGTCTCTTAATGCTCAATAAGGCTGCATTTATTTGATAAAAATACAGTACAACAGTAATATTGTGAAATATTATTACAATTAAAATGAACTGTTTTCTCTTTTAATATATTTTAAAATGTAATTTGTTTCTATGATAACAAAGCTGAATTTTCAGCATCATTCCTCCAGTCTTCAGTGTTACATGATTCTTCAGAAATCATTCTGATATACTGATTTGATGCTCAAGAAACATTTCTGCTTATTATCAGTGTTGAAAACAGTTGTGCTGCTTCATATTTTTTTGTGGACAACTGAAAATATTTTTCAGGATTCTTTAATGAATAGAAAGTTCAAAAGAACACCAAGTGTTTGAAATGTAAATGTTTTGTAACATTATAAATGTCTTTATTTTCACGTTGTTGTTTTTTTTCATTCTAATATGCTGATTTACTGCTCAAGAAACATATAATTATCAATGTTGAAAACAGTTCTGCCTTTTAATGTTTTTGTGGAAAACTGAAAATATTTTTCATGAATCTTTGATGAATAGGGAGTTCAAAAGAACAGCTTTTATTTGTAATAGAAATGTTTTCTAACATTATAAATGTCTTTATTTTAATTTTTGATCAAACTAATGCATCCTTGTTTATTATAAGCATTATTTTCCTGACCCAAAACTTTTGAACACTAGTATACTGTATACAGCAGGAGTGGCCAACGTCTGTCCCGGAGAGCCACAGTCCTGCAGAGTTCAGCTCCAACCCTAATCAAACACACCTGAACCAGCTAATCAAGGTCTAACGGTTACTAGAAAGCTACAGGCAGGGCAGTTTTAATCAAGGTTGGAGTAAAACTCTGGACAGGACTGTGGCTCTCCAGGACCGACGTTGGCCACCCCTGTATATAGAGTATATGTATAGCCACATTTCAATGTGTAATTCCTCTACAGTACTGTAAGTATTTGTCATAGCGCTGGTCAGAAAGATCTGTCGCACTAAAACAAAAGTGGACTAGATATGGATCTGTCACAGAAAGAAAGGAACCATGGGGATTTGAGCTATTGAAGTAACAAGGTGAATAAAGGACGAGCTGGATGAAGGAAAAACAGAAATAGAGCGGTGGAAAGTGTAAAGAATGAGAAGAAGAATACAGCAAGGTGAAGCTGAATTGAGAGGATGAAACCAAAGGAACGTCTAAACAGAGCAGTGACTGGAATACAAATGCAGACAGACAGATGAATTTGGGAGGATCTTTTAGCTTTAGGACTCAGCAGTGAGTTTTTTGTTTTTCTGATTCAATTTGGTAGAGAAAAGCTAACTTTCAAATACAGAACAGATTATATTAGTATTATAATTAGGCTAGTTTTTCCCGTTTGCATATGTATATGTTCATGACAGCATATTCTGGCTAACCACTGACATTTAAAACAACTAACCACACATTTATATCTTTATTATATCTTTTTTGAAAGAAAAGAATACTTTTAATAAGCATTAATTGGATCAAACATTTAAATAAAGACATTTATAATGTTAGAAAACATTTCTATTACAAATAAAAGCTGTTGCACTTTCTATTCATCAAAGATTCATGAATTTTTTTTTCAGTTTTCAACAAAAACATTAAAAGGCACAACTGTTTTCAACCGATAATAATCAGAAATGTTTCTTGAGCAGCAAATCAGCATATTAGAATGATTTCTGAAGATCATGTGACACTGAAGACTGGAGTAATGATGCTGAAAATTCAGCTTTGATCACAGCAATAAATTACATTTTTAACATATAGTCACATAGAAAACACTTATTTTAAACTGTAACGATATTTCACAATATTATGATTTTTATTACTAGGTTTTTGATTAAATAAACACAGCATTGGCGAGCAAAAAGACTCATCTTAAAAACATTAAAACAAACTTACTGACTCCGAACTGTAGTGAACTTACAAAGTGTCTCAAACAAAACTCTGGAATATCTTTGTTAGATTCAATGTAACAAAAGTATGTGTGTGTGTGTGTGTGTGTGTGCGCTCTCACCCCTGACTTGCGCATACTCCCTCGTGGTTTGGGGACAGGTCTGCTGCTCTTGGTCTCGATGATTTCCGTCACTCCCGCTGTGCTCTGCTGCTGTCTGGTCCTCTGGGCCTGCAGTGCCAGCTGATAGGCCACTTCAAACGCCTGTCCCAGCGTCAGAATGATCTCATAGGTCAGGTTCTGTCGGGGAGGTGGAGACACGGTGATTAACCATCGTGATGAGGTGCTTAAACCACTATTAAGAAATGATCAAAGAGTTCAAATAACCTCAATCCATCTTCAGACGTTTCTTTAATAGCCTCATCAACAGAATCATACATCAATACATTTGTAGAGGCCTCCAACATTATTCTGCACTTGAGGCATTTGAACTCATAAAAGTATGTAATAACAAGCTTAGCTATGTCATATAGTGAATATAATGAAGAGCAGCTTTTTATATAATTACACATCAGTGAGTCTCTGAAAAGTTACACCAGGACAGCTGTAGATACTGTAATGTGTAATGAAAGATATGAAAACACTTTGATTTTTTTCTTCTTTTCTCATCTAGGTCAAAAACAAACACTGTAATATTGAACATAAACTCTCAGATCCTCCACAAAAAAATCAGGGCTTGTAACTTCCGCCTGTGTTTCTTTTTTCTTTACAACAAGCTTTTGAAGACACAGAATTGCATTTCTAGCGTGGTCTACAATTAACATCATTTGACAAACACGGAACGGAAGCAAAACTCAAATTTTAGAGCATCTAAAAAGGAATGCCTGGCCCTCTTTTTGCTTTCATATGCAATGAATTATTTATTAAATCTAAATTAATAAAGCAGCAGGCTGTGTAAATAAACACAAACTCTGGAACCAGGATTTCTCAATGTAGTCAAGATGCATGCAAACATTATAAATGTCTTTAATGTCAATTTTGATCAAAACTGAACTGAACTTTCTATATTAAAAATTCAAATGTATTTTCAAAAGATAGATTCATTGTCTATTCAACCTCTTAACTCAAAGAAAAAGCTGTTTATTAATTGTTGCAGTAATGACCTGATTAGCCAATTATCAGTTCTAATAATCACTTGATTTGTGAACATGAATCACATGAACTGCTGCTGCAGCTCTATTAGAGTCTGGCTGTAAGTATTCAAGGCAATCATAGGTCTAGTGTGTGTCTGTATCATTTAGGCAGCTGTATGATCAATGTAATTTTAATGGGCTGCTGCTCACAACCTCTCCTATAAAACTCTTTGTGATACTATCAGAAGCCTGGCAATTGGCCCACGGCGCTCTGCACACCACAGAGAGAGAGAGAGAGCGAGAGAAAGAGAAAGAGACTCTTAATGCCCAGAAAAATGAGTATTTCAGAGCAGTAGTTCTCAACTGATGGTCATTAAACAGGTCTGTACTGATTATCACAGACAGCAGGGGGAACAAAATTATGCGAAATGCAAAATTGGAGGTTTTCAATTGATTTTATTTCTGCAAAAAGAAAAAAAAAGTGACGTTTTTTGAAACACTGTAAATCAGCATATAGAACTGAAGCAAAGCAGCTGAGAACTACTAATGTAGAAAGTGCTAATCTCTTAAACAGTGTATGTTAATGATGGTGGTGTTTGTCTCACCACATCTATGGTACTGAACACGTGGCAGTAATGATGGCTGCTCTGCAGATCTTTAGTGACGTAAGCAAACGTGCAGAGGTCCTCTGGGTCCTGAGCCGCACACGAGATGTTCCTGATCTCATGTTCTGCAATGATGTTCTGAACACACAAACCAAAGTGACATTAGCCAACAGATCCAAGACCTTAAGCAAAAAACAAACTTAAACATAAACGCCTTACTACTTACTACAGTTTTCACAGGAATAGTTAAAACAATCAATATCCGTTGATACTGATAAATACAATTAGATGGATGGGATAGATTGGGTGCAGTGATGGGAACTACAGTAACTACGTTACTACAGTTCTCACAGGAATAGTTAAAACAATCAATATCCGTTGATACTGATAAATACAATTAGATGGATGGGATAGATTGGGTGCAGTGATGGGATGGAGCGATAGATGGGATGGACGGATGGATGGATGGACCGATAGAATATATTGGGTAGATGGGATGGGATGGGATGGCATGGCTTGATGGATGGATGGGTTGGATTGGATGGATTGGGAGGTTAAGACCACTTAATATAAAGTGGGACCACTATTTGTATTACAGTCTAGTCTATTCAACCTTAATTAAATGTAAACAGGTATGCACTGCTGTGCTACTACAGGTATTTTGGTCTATATTAATGTGCTGCTTTAATGCACACACACACACACACACACACACACACCACTCGCACACACCACTCGCACATAAACACAGTCAGAGGGAGAGAGGTCGGCGATTGCAGATCACACTGCGCACACACAGAAACTTGTCAGTGCTGCCCCACGACTTTTATTAATAAAATAACAGATACTAGATCGCTTCATTATCTTCCTCAGCAACGAGGTAAAATCGAAGTAACTAAACAGCTTCATAGTTTGTAGAGAGAGATGTACAGACGCAGGTAATTCACACACACAACTGTCATCTTTCTCTCGATCGATAATTCATTCAAATAAATGCTATAATTTATTCAAATAAATGTGGTCTTACCGCACTATTTCATCTCTGTATCTGATTTGAAGCGGACAGAAAGCTAGAACTAACGAGCCGTAACTGACGAAAATAACAGTCATTTTTACCCTTCCGGTTAAATATTGCGCTGATAACATCATAAATAGCTTTAAAGGGGTCATTGGATGCCCATTTTCCACAAGTTGATATGATTCTTTAGGGTCTTAATGAAAAGTCTGTAACATAGTTTGGTTAACATTTCTCAATGGTAGAGTAAAGAACACCTTTTTTACCCCATCAAAAACAGCTCTTTTCAGAGCAAGCCGTTTTGTAGCATTTTTC